TTATGTGGTGAGAGCATGTGAGAAATGAAAGAGGATTATTGGCATGAAAGAAGAGTCACTCGGGTTTATGTTGGATGATTCTTGAAGCATGTTATGGTTGTGGAAAAAGGGGGCACAAGAAGAACAAATGCCCTCAGGTTGGATACGCCCATCCCAGTTTGCCCGATATGCGGGCGGGAACATTTTGCATCGTGTTGTGAGTATGCTCAAGTACGTGTTAGGGGTGGTAGATTTGGGCAATTCCAAAGGCTGATACAGCGAGCTGGTGCAGAGATTGATAATCCTGTCACGGGTTCTGGAGAAAGGATAAGGGGATGCTTATGATGTATGCAAAAAAGGTAAATATCAGGTAAGTGGGGTGAGTCAGTTTAGCAAAGCCCATCCTCATGTGTGAAGTGTGTGAGATATCATTCGGGGGTACGTCACTATAGTTCTAATGTATATTTTTGATATGGAGTAGAAAGGCATCAATTAAGGTACTGCCCTGTCAATCCAAAGTCATCGAGTAAGTCACTCCTTGCTACATCATTGTGAACACCAAATTATTTTCCTTGTTGTATATGTACATCCATATTGAAGGGGCCTACATAAATATGGTCTTAACCAAAATGCTGGATCACAAAACATTGCATGTACTTACTTTCTGAACGAGATGCATTATTCATGAAGCCACTCTATCACAAAATCTCCTATTTACAACCTCGTGAGGAATTGAGTTCTATAATGATTTCCTCGGAATGAGTTATAACCCTAGGTTAATACTTCCCACTGCTTCCCTAAATTCTCAACAAGGGACTATACCTGATGAATTTCTTACAAAATCTTTTGATTCGAATGGATAATATCTGCTCACTTGTGCCTATGCAGACACCATCATAATATTTACCTATGTAGTATTATATCTAATGTAAAGCAGCCTAGTGTTGAGATCCTCCTTGAGCCACTCTTTTTCTCTCCGGTGTATGTGGATCCTATGGTTGGAACACTCACTTTACTCCTTTGTGAATATTATCATGAATCCTTTTTACTGTCTAGTAACATGAGGGCATATCTCAGCACCTATCATATATGTACCTGTCAATTCAAATGGTCACTTGTCTATATAAAGTTTCTCGGTTTTCGTGAATTAATGACAAGAAGATCTTTGTTTGCCCATCTCAGTATGACTTTCATGTCCACCTAGATCATACCTCAATGAGTAACTCACTTTGTTCCTAGTATTGTAGTTTCCCTTGATGTGGCCTAGTGTTGCAGCTTGAGAGTAGTTATGGCAAAAACATGTCTAGCTCACAACAAAGTGTTCATTCTCTCTAACCAATACATGATTTCATCCCAACATTAAGATGTCATAGCTACATGGTTTCCCTTGTGTGTGGTTGAAAGTTAAGTAGCCTTACCGCGACCTTTCCCTCCTAACCTCAGGTGGATGTTTAAGATTATAGCACATACTATGAGCATATTGATTTGAAAGACAAGTTTGTTGTATATCTAGTCCTCTCATATAGGATCAACTATTGTGAAGGTTTAAGCTGTCAGAATGATAATAATATCACAAGTGATCAACATCTTTTTTCATCCCCATGGGCTTGTGGCATATCTATTCCTTGTGTTAGTTAATGTTAAGAGTGCAATGCAACTACATGTATTTTGAAATCCACATCACATTCAGGGTGCCAGAATATTCTCATTTCGAGTTAAACTGATTTTACCTACATTCCAAGAGGCGACTGGTGTCACGTACTTGGCTATTTCTCTTTGAGGCCTACTATTGTCAAACAAGGCACATATGGAATGAAACAATTGTTGTTTTCCTTTTCATGATTCATAGTCTTCCAAGAATAAGTGACCCTAATGTATTTATCCTCCCGATTATGCCTCTCATATATCATATGTCTAAAATGACTGACTTCTTTTGCATCTTAAGATCATGTACATAGTTCCTACATTATCAATGCCTACTAGGTAACTCTATGCCTCATTTGTCGAACCTCGTTATTCCTATTTATAGTAAACCTATGGGGGTTGAAGGTTCAAACATTTCAAAGAAGAAGCATCATTCCATGATCAAACATATTGGATGCAAAGGTTTATGGTCATATTCAAGCTAGCACATCTTAGAGTAATTGTTGAGGTCGCCAAAAGTTTAGTTTAGGTGTTCGGCATACGGATTTAGAGTTAAAGAAAGTGAACGGGTTATTCTCGAGATTTTCTCTATATAAATACTCGGTGAATTGTTATGGAAGGTAAAGCGTGTGTAGTCACATTAGGCCTTACGAAATCTTGAAGGTAATAGGCTAAACTATGAGTATGATGTTTCCCTATTATTGTCCTCCATGTATTTGGTGTTTCATGTGTCTATGTTGAAGAAAATAGTTGGAGGCCCGCTATTCATTGTTCCGGTTGAGACTATTGAGGTTAATGAGAAATTGACTTATGAAGAGATTCTGGTTTCTATTATTGATCGGCAAGTCCGAAAGTTCTGAAATAGAGAAATTGCCTCCGTGAAGGTGTTATGGCAAAACCAACAGGTTGAAGAGGCTACTTGGGAGACCGAGGAAGAAATGAAGAAGAAGTACCCTCATTTGTTTGAATAGTCATGTATTTATAAAGTTGTGTTCTACAAAAATGCTAAGAGTTACCTTCAATGAATTATGTATCAACTGTATAGCTGATGTTAAAGGTGTTTCTTTTTGGCAGTATACTGCTCGTGAGGCCACGGTTGGCATTGTTTTAATGTTATGTTGCGTCGTTGTTTCATGTATTTGTTGTTAGGACTGGTTTTGGTGATTCACTGGCAGGTGGTTATGCCAAATTGCATGGGACACTCTTCCAAAAGCTCTGAAAAATTTAGGAGTTAACCAAATTTTGGGGCCTTAAGGAAGTTGAAATGTTGGAAGAATATCTAAGATCTATATGAAGTCAAGAACGATTAAAGATGATGGTTAAGATGAAATGAGGATAATACTATGCCTAATAATTACTTGTAAAACATTCGAGGACGAATGTTCTTATATTGGGGAGAATGTAACACCCCAAAAAATTTTGAAGTGTTTTAAGACCATTAAGAAGATTGGCAGGTACTAAGTATATTAATTCGAGTATGAAAAAGACTAAAAGTATGAATGATATCAAATAATCATGATAATATATTTATGAGGTGCATTAAGAATGGTTTATGGTCTAAGAAGAGCCCCAATGCTAAGTCAAGTTGAAAATTATACGATGGGATAGCGTTTCAAGTGAGTTCGCAGAAGACCTAACTTCAAACGAGTATAACTCTCAATATATGAAGTTTTATATGGTTTGTGACCTATAAAATGAAAAGTCTATGTGTCTAGTCGCTAATGCTTCAAACCGTTCGTCATTTGGAGACTCCTACAAGAAGTTATGAGCTTTTTACTAAAGGGTGTCAGAACAACTACGTGAGTCGTGCGTAGCCTACGCACCATAGCAATGTAGCCTACGCACCATTGCGTAGGCAAATCCAGAAACTTCAAATTGAAGGGGAATGGAAGTCCACCCTGCGTAGTGATGTGCCGTAGAATTCCGGCACATTTGATACCAATTACATAGACTTTAGCTCATCTTTCAATGCATTTTTAGTTAATTCTTATGAAGTTTTGGTGTTTTGCAGTGCATGAGGCTTGAGGATCCAAAAACATGGAGAAGAAGTCAAAAAGCCACAAAAGGGCAGAAATGACGCAAGTATGCGGTCGCATAAAGCATATGCGGACCGCATACCCATCGTATACTGAAGCAGATTGTTGGTTAACTGACGAGAAAAAGATGCGACCCATTATGCAGTCGCATAACGATTATGCGAACCGCATAGTGATCGCATAACTGAAATCAAGAAAGCTGAGAAGCATTTATGCGGAGGAATATGCGGTCGCATAATGTATATGCGGACCGCATAATTGGAATGCGGTCAAGAGCTGGGTTGGATACATGAGATTATGCGGCGATCTCGAATAATATGCGGACCGCATACGTGATCTGCGACCAGTATGCGGTCGCATAAACCTTCTGCAGGGTTATTTTTGTCCAATTTTGGCTCCGACTTTTAGTCCACTATAAATAGATTTATTAGGGTTTTGTGGGGGAGCGAAGTGAGAAAAAGGAGATTACTTTTAGAGCATTGAATGCACCATTGTTTTGGAGACTTTTGAAGAGAGAATCTTTTATCTTTGTAAGCTTTATGACTCTATTTATCACTTTGTTCTTAGATTTTTGTATGAGTAGCTAGTTTTAATTTCTAAGGTTGTGGACCCTAGATGGGTGTTTACCATTGAATATATATATATAATGGTTGGCTGATATTTATTCAGTTCTTATGCTTCCTGTGATGTTAGTGGTTGCAAACATTAACTAATTCCATTTCACTCTATCTGCACTTGGAAAAGTGGGCTAGGGTTTGGTAGAATTGAATACCAAAAACTTAAGGCGTTAACCCTTGTTTAATGGAATCGCCTAGGAACTAGTGGGTTCTATTTGGCATAAATTGGTTATTTTCAATCACAACTCTTTTACATTTGGGAAAATCTTGAAGAGTAGATATTACTCAACTATTGGGAAATAGTGGGTAGTCACATAGAATCCATTTGCATATCAAAGGACTTTCCATTAGAAATATATCATATTAGCACCGATAGCATTACATTACATGATGGGGACACAACCTTGGTTTCCTTAATCAAATTAATCACAACCTCACAATATTTTACTTGTCTTCACTTCACTCAATTGCAACATTCTTTTCAACTAACGGAATAGAATTACAAATTAAGTCAAGTTTCACACTACTCAAGTAACCTTTTCACACCTAGTTGGGTCATTATATTTGACATCGACCGCTTTACACTAATTATTAAGGTGTAATTTGAGCGTATCAAATTTTGGCACCGTTGCCGGGGAATACGGTTTTGAAATTATGATTTAGTGTGTGCTTTACTTCACGTTCTTATTCCATCACACTTTGCTTGCTTTGTTTGGTGTGCTAGATAAACATGGCAGAGTATGACGAAGAAGAAAATCTGTTTGCGGATATAGATGAGTACATCGAGGACACAAATGCCATTGTCCCTCTGCGAGTTGACGCTGCTACCTTCAAGGTGGAACATGGTCTGATCCTAATGCTTAAAGCAGAGGGATTTTTTAGGAATTCTACCGATGATGATCCAACACAACATCATAGAAACTTCTTGGGTGTGTGTGCGATGCACAAACAGAACAACGTGTCAGATGATGCCCTAAGACTGATGGTATTCAAGTACTCACTAGTTGGAGAGGCAAGAAAATGGATCCAAAATCTTCCACCTCACTCCATTCACTCTTGGCCTGAACTAGTTCATGCTTTCTTAGCCAAATGGTTCCCACAAAGAAGGAAATCCGAGCTCAAGGATAAAATTTTCTTTTTCAAGCAACTACCGGGAGAACACCTACATGAGGCATGGGATTGGTTCAAGCAATACCTAGTAAGGTTGCCTAATCATGGTTTTCCGGACAAAATCATGTCAGAAAAGTTTTACATGGGTTTGGATCCGTTGAACCAATCCATAGCAAAGAATGTTGCGGATGGGTCTTTTATGGATAAAACATTCACAAGGATCACACAAATTCTCGGCAAGATGGCAGAATACAATCAAGCTTGGCACTCAGAAAATACCATGGGTGGAATTGCATACGGTACTCCCTCTTTGACCAACATGATTAAGGAGAATCAAGAGAGAGATCAAGTAATTATCGGTCTTGCCACAAACATTAATGTGTTAACCAAGATGTTCACTGAAAACCAAACTAAAAAGGTAAACAATGTGGAAGATGTGCAACCCTGGTCAACCGAAGATTACGAGGAGGCGAATTATGTCCATAATTCTCAAGGTGGTTATCTCCAACAAAATCAATGGAGGCCTAACCCACAAGGGCAAGGCCATCAACAGTGGCGCAATGATCAAGGTGGATCAAGTCAAGGTAATTGGAGCAATGCCAACAACAACTATGCAAACCGGAGTTCAAACCCCTATGTTCCACCAAAGGGGCAATACTCTAACTCCTCGCACTATAAGGAAGGCTCTTCAAGTGAGTCCAAGTTGGAGAGCATGCTTTAAAGAATATTGCAAAATCAAGAAAGGGGAAACACTACAATGAAAATCATGTCCGAAATTGTGGGGTCACACACCGCATCCATACAAAATCTAGAAATGCAAATGAGAGATTTGTCAAGAGAGCATAATCCAAAGCCGAAGGGCATACTCCCAAGTGACACAATTGCAAACCCTAAAGGAAATGGGAGTGGTCCAACTTCTCATTGCATGGAAATCACCACATGAAGCGGGAAGGTACTTCAAGGAGAAAACGAGCAAATTATTGGAGTAGATGATCTTGAGCAAGAGGTTGAAGCACAAGTTGAAGTGCAGGTTGTTGTTGAAGTTGAAAAGCTCCCAAAAAGTGTAAAAGTCCAAGAAGAAAATCATGAAAAGGTAAAGAGGAAAGAGGCACCAACATCTCTAGCACAAATTCCTAGACCTTCCCCTCCGTTCCCTCAAAGACTTGCTAGGAGGGTTGATGATAGCAAATTCGAGAAATTTTATGACATTCTCAAGCAATTGTCGGTGAACATACCATTTGTGGAAGCCTTTCAAGAGATGTCGGGTTTTGCTAAATACTTAAAGGACTTGATAACCAAGAAAAGAACCACCAAGAATGATGTTACTCACCGGGTTAGCCCCATTATTGCAACAACCATCGTTGAAAAGAAAGAACACCCGGGAGCATTCACCATTCCGTGCACTATTGGCCTGCGAGATTTTGCAAGGGCTCTTTGTGACAATGGGGCTAGCATTAACTTGATGCCTCTTGCCATTTACAAGCAAGCGGGGTTAAGCATGTCGAGACCTACAAGCATGAGATTGCAAATGGACGATCATTCAATCAAAAGACCAGTGGGATTATTGATGATGTCTTAGTGAAAGTGGAAAAGTTCCTCTTTTCGGACGATTTTGTGATCCTTGACTGTGCCGTTGACAAAGAAATCCCTATCTTCTTGGGGAGGCCATTCTTTGCTACCGGAACAGCACTTATGGATTCAGAACGAAACAAAATCAAGTTCCGAGTTAATGATGAAGAAGTCACCTTCCAAGAAAGAAGGGGTATGAAGTTGCCATATGCATATGAAGGCATCTCAGTCATTGATGTTGTTGATGAGGTAGAGGACTCAAGTGAAATGAAAATGGAAGAAGAATGCCTAGGTGAGGCTTTGGCGGAGATATTGGTAAATGGTGAAAACATGGAGGGGTACATGGAATCAATGAATGCATTAGAAGGACGTGAGTCTTACACTTACGCACCAAAGAAGCTTTCTCTTGACTTAGAGAATAGAGCCATTCCCCCAGCAAAGCCTTGAATTATTGAGCCGCCACAACTTGAACTCAAGCCACTTCCACCACACTTAAGGTATAAATTTCTTGGCTCTAACGATACTTTGTCGGTAATCGTTTCTTCCTTATTGAATGAGGTGCAGGTAGATCATTTATTGAATGTCCTACGGGAGCATCAACAAGCCATTGGGTGGACAATAGCGGACATCCGAGGGATTCCCGTCGGAATATGTGAGCACAAAATACAATTGGAACAAGGAAGCAAACCTAGTGTGGAGCACCAAAGAAGATTAAACCCGTCCATGAAGGAGGTGGTGAAGAAGGAAATCATCAAGTGGTTAGACGCTGGAGTAGTCTATCCCATTGCCGATAGTTGTTGGGTGAGCCCGGTGCAATGTGTGCCAAAGAAAGGAGGCATGACCGTTATCCAAAATGAGAAAAATGAGCTCATCCCAACAAGGACTGTGACCGGATGGAGAGTTTGCATGGACTACCAGAAGCTCAACAGTGCCACTTGCAAAGACCATTTCCCTATGCCTTGTATTGATCAAATGCTTGATCGGCTAGCGGGAAGGTCATTTTATTGCTTTTTGGATGGATACTCCGGCTATAACCAAATCAACATTGCATTGGAAGATCAGGAGAAGACACCATTCACATGCCCATATGGGACTTTTTCTTTTAGCCGGATGCCATTTGGGCTATGCAACGCTCCGGCTACCTTCCAACGGTGCATGATGTCAATTTTCTCGGACATGGTGGAAGATTTCGTAGAAGTGTTTATGGATGACTTCTCTATAGTAGGTGATTCCTTTGAGCATTGTCTTGACAACCTTAGACAAGTGCTCAAAAGATGTGAAGAAACAAACCTTGTATTAAATTGGGAAAAGTGGCACTTCATGGTGGATGAGGGCATTGTTTTGGGCAACACAATTTCCAAACAAGGCAGAGAGGTTGACCGCGCAAAGATTGAAATCATTTCTAAGCTTCCTCCACCCATTTCAGTAAAGGGTGTCCGAATTATTTTGGGGCACGCCGGCTTTTATAGGCGTTTTATCAAAGACTTCTCAAAAATTACAAACCCCATGTGCAAGATCCTTGAAAAAGATGCTACGTTCGTATTTGATGAAAAGTGTCTCAAAGAATTTGAGGAATTGAAATAAAAGCTCACCACGGCACCTATCATTGTCACACCTGATTGGTCTCTTCCATTTGAACTCATGTGTGATGCTAGTGGTGTAGCCATTGGGGAGGTGCTTGGTCAAAGGCATAAAAAAATCCTTCATCCTGTCTACTATGCAAGAAAGACTCTCAATGGTGCTCAGATGAATTATACTGTGACCGAGAAAGAATTTCTTACCATTGTCTATGCTTTTGAAAAATTTCGGGCCTATTTGTTAGGATCCAAGGTAATAGTCTACACTGATCATGCTGCTCTTTGCTATCTTATGGCAAAGAGAGATGCAAAGCTAAGATTGATTCGATGGGTCCTTTTGTTGCATGAGTTTGACTTTGAAGTCAAGGATCGAAGAGGGACAGAAAACCAAGTCGCAGATCACTTATCTAGGCTTGAAGAAGCAGGGAGGCCAAAAGAGGACTTTGACATCAATGATGCTTTTCCAGATGAGCACATATTGGCATTGTCTAACACATTTGCTCTTTGGTATGCCGATATTGCTAACTATCTAGTTAGCGACCTTGTCCCTGATGGATTGGAAACATATCAAAAGAAAAAATTCTTGCGGGAGAGCAGGCAATACTATTGGGAGGAGCCCTTCTTGTTTCGTATTTGTGCCGACAACATCATTCGGCGATGTGTTCCGGAAGATGAAGTAATGCCAATTCTCAAAGCATGCCATGACTCCCCGGTTGGGGGTCATCATGGAGGAAATCGGATGGCCGCGAAAGTGCTTGAATGTGGCTATTATTGGCCATCTATCTACCATGATGCGAATCAAATGGTCAAGGCTTGTGAGCAATGTCAGAGGCAAGGATCAATCTCTAAAAGGCATGAGATGCCTATGAAGTTTGTAATGGAGGTCGAGATCTTTGATACGTGGGGGATTGATTTCATGGGCCCCTTTGTGAGTTCTTATGGCATGAAATATATCTTGGTGGGAGTGGACTATGTCTCCAAGTGGGTTGAGTCAATCGCCTTACCCAACAATGAGGCAAGGAGTGTGACCGCATTCTTAAGGAAGAACATTTTCATGCGGTTTGGTACTCCCCGAGCCATCCTTAGCGACGGTGGTTCTCATTTCTGCAACAAGGTTTTCACCGGGCTGCTCGAAAAGTATGGCGTAAAGCACAAGGTGGCCACGCCTTATCATCCTCAGTCGAGTGGTCAAGTTGAAGTTTCCACCAGGGAGATTAAAAACATCCTAGCAAAAACTGTCAATGCAAACATGACCGACTGGTCAAGGAAGCTAGAGGATGCATTGTGGGCATATCGCACCGCATTTAAGACTCCCATTGGCACCTCACCGTATCGGTTAATCTTTGGTAAGGCGTGTCATTTGCCCGTGGAGCTTGAACACAAGGCCATGTGGGCTCTGAAAAGGTTAAATCTTGGCTGGGCTGAAGCTGCTAATCTGAGAATTACACAACTCAACGAAATGGAAGAATTATGTCTCCATGCCTATGAGAGTGCAGCCATGTATAAGGAACGAATGAAGTTCGTTCATGACAAGAAGATCTTGAAACAGGAATTCAAATCTGGTGACTTGGTCTTGCTTTTCAACTCGAGACTCAAGTTATTTCCGGGCAAACTTAAATCCAAATGGTCTGGCCCATTCAAAATTGTGAATGTGTCCCCTTACGGTGCTATTGAATTAGAGTCGGAAGATGGACTTTGCACTTTCAAAGTAAATGGACAACGGGTTAAGCATTACCTGGGTACAACAGGAGACGAGCACTTGATAGAGCAAATTTCTCTCAAGGATAGTCCGACCCCTACCACTGAGTATCCCAAAAAGGGGACCAACATCGTTGTGCCGCGATGTTAAATCAAGCGCTTCTTCGGAGGCAACCCATGTGTGGTAAAAATTTGTAGTGATTGAACAGGTTGACATGTGTATTAGATTGCAGGTAGCCCAATTTACCATGAAACAGAGTGCAACGACTAAAGCAAAAAAAATGGTGGATCAGGGGCTTTCGGCAACTATGCGGTCGCATAATGACTTTGCGAACCGCATAGTTGTCGCAAACATAGCCAGTGAATTTGGGGAACTTGGGTCTGAAAACTGCGGTAAAAGTTCAAGTTATGTGGTACGCATAGATGTTATGCGACCGCAGAATGCATCGCAGAATGGAGGTAAAGTAACTCAGCTCTAAACTCATCGCATAACACATATGCGACAGCATAATGTGTTATGCGACCACTTGCCCACCGCAAAACATCCAGGTATAAATCCCTAATCCTTCGCATACTGTCAATCCCACTCGCACACGAACACTTAACAACTCTCACAAAATCAAAAACACAAAAACAAAAGAAATGAAAGAAAAGCCAAAAAAAAAACATTTTAATCACGCACACATATCACATATCAAGGATCGGAATTAAGGAATTTACCTTGCTCATAACTCAAATTTCACCTTCGTCTTGCTCCAATATCTGGTATGTGACTCTTTCATGTTTGTTTTTTTTTCTTTTTTTTTTTATTAATTGTTTTTTCACGTTTGTGGATTCATTGCATAATGTCCATCATTTGAACTCCATATCTCGTTTTCGTTCTCAAACATGTGCGGTGGGTACCTGCGTGGGCTATTGGTGGTTTTTTTTTTTTGCCTGCGAGTGTAGGGAACAAAGTCGTCGCCAACAAGACCCTAGAAGGCCCAGTGATTTGAACTTATGGGACCGCTTATGCGTTCGCAAAAGGTGTTTTGCGTATCGCATAGCTACCGCAAATACAATCAGTTAAACTACCTTTCTTGTGTGCAAATCTGTGATCCCTTTGCGATCGCATAATCCCTTAAGTCTGGGGTATGAAATTCTGCGATAAGTTTGCGGTCCGCATAGTGGATATTCGACTGCATAACCTATCGCATAACTTGTTTATCTATTTTATGCTTCCTCCACATTTATTTTACGCTATGACCACCTCTCGTGCACTGTTTTATTGCAGGAATGGAACCAAGGAAATCTATTGCAACACGATCACCACCTGCTCATGGGAAGAAAAGAGCTGCTCCGGATTAACAAGCACAACAGTATAAGTGTCAACAGTAGGAAACCACCCGCAACACTACTTATCACTCCTCCCAGTCTGAAGAAGAGGGGGCACAGACGGACATCCTGCCATCAGTTGACCTACAAGCTGAAGCAAGGCGGAAGAGAGAGGAGGATTCGAAGTTTGGGGTCCCAGGATCATGGAACCTATACAAAGAGGGGATAAAAAAGAGAAACATTCTCGAGGAGAAGCAGTTAAGCCTGAATGGTCTGAAAGAGAACTACCCTCACATAATTGAAAACATTCAGAAGAGGAAATGGGGATTCTTCACGGATGCCCTAGATGACTACAATGAAACAATTGTGAGGGAATTCTATGCTTCCTATGCTGCCTCAAGAAATGCTGAACAAAGGCGGAATAGGATATTTTTGGACTCCGTTCTAGTTCGAGGGGTTCAGGTTCTCTGTAACGCAGGCACAATCAATGATCTATTCTTTGAGGACTGGTCATCAGGCACAGCTGAATATGATGCAAAAGTAACCAACAAAGATAACGAGCGTGCTTGTATAGAATCTGTCATAGCAAAGGGAACCCCCTCCTGGATTGACCCGCGCTACAAGATTTACAAACGGGATATCACCCAGGAAGCCCGATATTGCCTCAACTTTGTTTGCTGCTGTCTTATGCCGACTAGAAATGAGACAGACATCAACATTGAAACGGCCCTCATAATTGCATGCATCATGTCGGACATCAAGATTGATGTGGGACACATTATCTTCAAGGAGATGGGAATCAGGGCACACCAAAAGCAAACTTCTCTTCCTTTCCCATGCTTGATCACGACTCTTTGC